GCGGGGAACTCTGCAAAAAACGCATCTTCGCACGGGCAGCCCGTGCGTTGGCCATTTATTGAAAATCGTTTGTGAGGAAGCGAGTTGGAAGTGGAATGAGGTTCATTGGGAATAAGCGGAAATTGTAGAAGCTGTTGAGAATTAGCCTAAAATATCAGGAAGTGGAAATGAGATAAGGTAAAATTTGTTGGGAATTAATCCAAAATATGGGGCAATGGGGGTGTGATAAGTTAAAATTGTGGGAGCTATTGGGAATTAGTCCAAAATGTGGAATTCGTCAAAAAATTGAGAGTAATTTGAAGTGAGGTTAATTTGTTAACTGTAAAAGCGACCCTTATTTTTGCTGATGTCTGCCGGGTCGGGATCCGAGTGCGGTACGGATAATAATGCTGGCTAAAAGAAGTGGTAACAGTAAGGAGAATGAAAAACCCTGTGGTAGATGTCTAACACCAGCGGACTTGACGTAGTGGGAAGTAGTACTTAAATTCTGTGAGTTCCGCCTGTAGGACAGTCAGCCCCTCTACGATTTTTCCATCCATTTTGATAGTAAATTGGTATTGGCCGGGGAGTTAAACTGGTCATCAGCTTGCTTCTAAACATCAAGCGGAGGAGGGATTGGACAGCCTTGCTAATTTGCGATTACTTTTGCCACTTGCTACCTACACCTGGATTACTGCTCTCCGATTGCCCTCGCTTCTCATAAACAGCGAATATGAAAAGGGTCCTATCTTTTTGGCTTTTGACGAAGTCTGTTATAATAGTATGGCAAAGGACATGTAGGGCCTAGCGAGCATAGACTTCCTGACGATATTAACTTGCGTCAGATCACGTCATATGCTGTCTATCATGAAATTTGATACGTTGTAAAGATCACTGAAAAAACAAGGTCAGATGTACTTTCGGATATTTTCTTAACATTTGTCATCTTCCATATTTGGGTGAAAAAACCGAAAATTCCGCTAAATAATAATAGCTACTTCGCTAGCGCTGTAAAATTGCTTTAGATTTGGCACAATTTTTACAAACTGATTTTTTTAGGACAAAAAAAGTTGAACAAGAAAATGAGGATGGAAGTGGGCAAGGGGCTGGGCGAATTAGAGGAAAAAACCAGTCATTTCATTTTTAACCTCCTAGCAGCGAACGAGTACCTACCTGGGTTCCAGCGCTTGATCACCGTGGCACTGAAGCATCATTTTGGCCATCTTTTTCGTCAGCAAGCAGTTAATGGATCACATTTCCATTCGTTTTTTTGTGAGCTTTCCAATACCATGATTTTTACAGCGATTTTATTTGTAATCATGATTTTTGCTGTTGAATGTGCACCTCAACAAGGCGTAATGCACTTAACAGTAACTATTCCACAAGAGGGCGCTGTTGTATTGTCCAGCTGCAAGATAACCGGTGAAATGAAGCCAGAATTGTGGATTCTTCCGGATGGCACACGAATTTGCACAGATGGGCAAAACAGATCCGAGAAGAATGCAAATTGCAAAGATTTAACGAAGTTCGTCCAAGAACAGACTGTCAACGATAATGAAAATCATTATTCTGAGGTACTGAAAATCACGATTTCGAGGTTACCAACGAATCTGCGAATCATGATTTCGAGATTTCTGTTAACTTACTGAATATTTCGGCGAATCAACTGACCATTGTTGGGGTTCGGCGCGGAACGGATAGTCACTATCAATGTGCTACGAAGGATGACTACTGTCAAGTATTTTTATCCCGTACGTGATCGCACGCACGGATTACTCAGAATCGGTGCTGATATCGCTATGCATCTCGCCAGGATTTATGGCGACTTGCTACTTGGTGCTGATCATCAGCCGCTATCTCGTTCCCGGAGATGGATTCATTTGGCGACACCTCTGCTCTCGTTGAGTGGGCGATTCATGGTCCAGCGCAAGTGACCAACCAATGCAGGCATCATCACGTAAAGCTAATCAAAGTTTTGCTAATACGCTCGGCAACACTGATACTGACAGCGCCAGCGAATGCTCCAATTATCCAGAAAATGCGCAATGCTGAAATTTCGTGACCAGTAATTGTTGACACGATTCCCATTCATTTCAAAGGCTTGGTTTTTGTGAAAAATTGACCAAATAGAAGAAAAATGCGCGAAAATTGTGTGCCAGTACTCCTCGTTTTTCTTTCAAACTCTTTCCCTCATTGTTTGCCATTGAAAAACTGCAACACTGTGTAGAAACTAAGGTCACCGTTGTAAAGTAGTTTCGGTGTTTGACGAAGTGATAGAGTAACGGTGATTTTCCTGCACTGATGCCGAGCATTATTTTAATCTCACCACTGGTTGGCGTGTTCGATGCATACATCATTTTTTTGGATTAAAAAAAAATCAATCAGGGTTGTGTAAATTGGAGAAATTCGTGGTGTGATATCACGGAAAGACGTTGATCAATTTGCCCATACATTCCAGGATTCGGCAATCAAGCAATGCCAACAACGAAGCACACCAACAAAGTTCGACAGGTGCTACAAACAGTCCGTTGTTTCTCCGACGCATATCCAGAAAAGTGTGGAGCAGCTCTTTAGGCGTGATACTTTAAGGAACAAACCGATATTCGTTGTTTGGATAAAAAGTGATGGAATATTGCTTAGTTCAAAAGGTCAGTTGAGACCCAGTGTTCGGGCGAAAGATGACAGAATATCGTTCATCATTTTGAGGAACCAAACTGATGTCCCCATGTTCGGGCAAAAAAGACGGAATATTGCTTCACTATGAAGAACCAAACTGATATCCAGCGTTTGGGCAGAAAGTGATGGAATATTGCTTATCAGTTCAAGAAATCACTTGATATCCGGTGTTCGGGCGAAAAGTAATGGAATATCGTTTATCACTTTGAGGAACCAATCTAATATATCCAGTATTCGGATACAAAATGATGGAACGCATTACTTTTCACTTTCAAGAACCGCACTGATATCCGATTTTTAGACAGAAAATAGAAGTTCAGGATGATATCATCAGTGATTTGAGAAAAGGTGCTTCAGTTGCAGCTTCTCGATATTCGAAGCTTCAAATTAAGTGTCTCGAGAAAAACTGCTTCCCTTATTCCATACTTTATGAACAGCAGCAGCAGCAGCAGTGCAAGATTTTGTCCAGAATTCGCGGTCGACCAGGTAAATTACCGAAGCATCCGGTGCGTGATCACTTCAAACTGACATGTCCATTATCGGCGTTCGGGAGAATAATGGTAGTGACCGGTACTGTGCTACTGTCTTTATTTGCCGCCGGTCGCTGTTTCTCATCCTGACAGTGCTGATAACGATAGCGCCAAACAGTTATCCGCCGGAGAAGCCATTTGATGCAGGATTTGAGTGTAATAAGCATGAAGAAGAGTGCCAGAATGATGGCTGTTCCGATGCCGATCCATGGATCGTATTCGCGATAGAAATCCTCGTTGCTTTTTGCCGGATTCGGATCCATGAAATCTCGCTTATCCGGAATTTTACAGGTTGGAAAACAATCGCTTCGCTGATATCGTGCATGAAGCACGCCGGTGCTCATAACTGCTGCTACACTAACTGGCACACTGAGGAGCAGCCAACCAGCCAGCCAGCCAGGGCGAACAAGCAGCAAACGGCACTTGTAAAAATTAGTTTGTTCTGCTCGAAGAAGGAGGCGAGGCACGCCTTTCTGGACTGGAAGAAGGAGCAGCGAAGGATCGAGGAAGGCGTGGTGCCCAGGAGAACAGTGCTTCCGTGCAAAGAGTGGTTCAGGAGCTAAGCTTGTGTATATCTCCGGAGCATATATGATGATGCAGGAGGGCCAATAAGCCAGCTTCTCAGTGCTCCGAGGGGAATAATTACTTTCTCGGGCAGCTGCTCCTGCTGCTTGCCTGCTGGATGATGATGATGGTGCTCAATCGGTGCAACATTCACACACACACATACATACAATTGCTGTTCACTGGCCAGCTGATTTTATCATATCACACCTCCATTCTTGCCTTCCCTCCCTCTTCCGTACCTCAGTAATACTCAGCGAGCCGCTCCTCACTCATTCCGGCAAGTGTTGTCAAGCAGCCATTATTATTCGATCATCTGTGAGCGTAATCAGCCTGCATTTATTAGGTTTAGCTTGTTTATCCTAGCTTACTTAAGACAGCAGAACAGGTTGCCGAGTGCTGCCTCTAAGCTGCGAAATTTAATATTATTGACACTAAATTACTGCCAGCTTATGCATGACAGTTGTGAAAAATTCAATTTGATGTTGACGTAAATTGGCCTAAAAAAATCAAAAAAAAAAAAGTGGAAAAAACGACTCCCAAAAACTTTTCAGTATTTCCGAGATTTTTTAAAAATATAATTCCTTGAAAAAAAGAGAATGGCGTTTTGATCACTTTTAAAAATGATTTCAAACAATTTCCAGTGGTTGAAGACTTTTTGAAAATGTAAATTCTTGGAAAAAAGTGGAAGGCATTTTAATGATTTTTGTTTCGAGAAATTTTTAAAGGTGACTGGTGTTGTGTACAGTCGGTGAATCGAAAGAACCTTGTACTGGTTCAGTAACAGAATGAGTAATTTAAAAAGACAAGTGGTAATAATCACGAAATCACTGGAAATACAGCTTGTTATAAATACGATGGTCGATAAGGTATCTGGTAGGACTGAACACTGGGAGCCAAGCATACGGATCTTGGGGCCTCAAATAGTTTCCCTTTTATGAAATGAACCATGCAGGAGTTATCTTCAAACACTACCTCTGTAAAGCACTTTCAGTATAGTTTCAAAAGTTTCCTCTGTGGGAAAATGAGTTTGCTTTCTCCATCTATGGCGAGAAAATTGCAGTGGAAATTTGAAGATATGAAACTGGAACCTTTTGTCCCACAAAGGCGGTAACCCAAGCATCACTGCTTTACACTCGAGAATTTCTCATTCCAGTGACCATCATTGCCTTCATAACACTCTACAAAAAGCACTTCTCGATAATGACTGTAGAGTGGAATAACATGGCATGTTATTAGATTATGATAATTTATAATAACTAATCTTAGTAGTCAAAATATGATAACTAATCCAATGAATTATAGTAATAAATAGTAACGAATGCGATAAAAAATAGAAAAAGAAGCCCTGAGATGAAATGTTTCGATCCATTAAGTCACGTGCATTCCAGATCAGTACCTCGATGTTATACCTAGATTTTCTTACTAATATTTGCTGGAGCGGTGGTAACGGGAAGGGTTTTGCTCAGGATTGTAAGACTTATTGCAGCTTCCTCCAGCATTTGGAAGCATCCAGAAACAACGAATCTCCCCACCTATTTTCCAGGCGGTTCTGGTATTCTTGACATCCATAGGGGATTATAGTTGCTCAAAATGTGCATTTTTCAGAGACTACTTGCAAACGTATTTTAAAACTGCACATAACACCCCACTCCCCTCTCCTCCGCCTTTGCCCTGCCCTTATTACCTATTCCGCTATTTCAGCAGTTTTTATGAGAGTACTAAAATAGCGATTAGCAGAAATGCCATGTAAATGTATGTAAATTATTCGGCCTCTAATTCGTCTTCCCGGAAATCTTCTGCTAGCTAAAAATTGTCAGTTTAATCGTTTTCCAGCCAGTCACTGCAGAACGAAACATTCAAAATCTTTTTCACCTTTCAAATATTTGTCACATTTCTGCTTTCCAGCATTTTATGGGCTTACTTTTTGCAAAACGAAACTAGTCATATTTTCTTTTTTTTCCAGCTTCTCTGTCTTCCTAAACCATGAAACTGATGTGAATCAAATTTGGGGCGATTATTGCGCCTAGGTTATTAATTTTTTTCCTCATAGTTATACCAGAAGAAATATATGCTCACTGAGGTATGGGATAAAATCGGTAACAAAATGGGCTGAGATCTGGTAATCTAGCTAACCCCGAAGACCCGCCGATACTAAGTACTGTAATCCCATATCAGCTCAAATTTAGTTACCGCAATATTTTATTATCTACCTTAGCTCAAAATACTTTTTTTTCTCATTTCCACAGTTTCAGCTCAAAGCATCCTGTCACTTTGCATCTCACATTTTCAGTCTTCGTCTTTTTTTTTTGTTTTTCCCACACGCCATCTTTAATTGCTCAGAATTCTTGTTGGTTTTAGAAAGTAATTGGCCAACGCACGGGCTGCCCGTGCGAAGATGCGTTTTTTGCAGAGTTCCCCGCAG